ATCATCTTGTGTACAATTGCATTGTAAATCTGTATATAGTAAATGTGTATATAGTAAATCTACATGTAGTACATCTATATGTAGTAAATCTACATATAGTAATTCTGTAATATAGTAATTCTGTATATAGTAAATCTATATGTAGCAAATCTCTATATAGTAAATCTATAGTAAATCTATATATAGTAAATATGTATAGTAAATCTACATATAATAAATCTACATCTGGTCAATCTAGATGAGATAAGGGACGAGCGGGGAGGCGGTGTTCACCTGGCTGGGGACGGGTGGCCGACCGGGACGGCGAGCATTTGCCTTGCCCCCACGCGCCGGTTTCACCTGCTCACGCGCACGCCACGGACACGCGCCGACACCACGCCGTTAGCCACCGCCACCACGCCAACGCCGTTAGCCACCGCCACCCCGCCAATGCCGTTAGCCAGCACCACCACCACGCCAATGTCGTTAGCCGGCACCACCACCACGTCGTTAGCCGGCACCACCACCACCACGCCGTTAGCCATCAATACCCCACCAACTCCGTTAGCCGGCACCACCAGCAATCGTGCTGCACTTAGCAAATCGTCACAGTTGAGCGGCAATATGGCCAGCGATGGTGATGCGTTACGAGTAACTTCAACGAAAAGCGAGCCGATCCCCGCAATATCCCCCGTACGAGTTTACGATCGATCGTTGACGGCCTTTGACCCCCACAGCCGAATCGGGGACCTGTTTCCGCGACCGCAAGAAAACGCCACTTTGCCTCGGGGGCGGCGCGTGCCAAAAGCAAGCGGCAAAGCACGCGGACGACGCGGCGAAGATCGTCTTGGTGCGGCCGCGGTGGAGAGAATGCCCAGTCGTAACCCCCCAGACGCAGGGACGTTGGTTTCCCAGCCACGGGGCATTTGTTCCATCCGTGCCGTCGAGGGACCCACAATCATCTGCTTGGTTCTTTCGGTAAAGTCACGTAGAAGGGAAGTAATAAAATAATAAAAATAAAACATAATAAAATACAATTCTCACGACGTTTCGGCCACAACGCAAGCAGCCGTCGAAACGTCGTGAGAATTATTTTATTATGTTTTATTTTTATTATTTTATTACTTCCCTTCTACGTGACTTTACCGAAAGAACCAAGAAGATGAATCCCTGCAGTCACGAAAGCTTTAAATCGGGACCCACAATCGTGAATATTCCGTAAAGCGTGCGTTTGAAAGAGCCGGTGTGAGCTCTCAAGCCGCTCGCCGGTCGACCGCGCGGTTCTAACTCGGTCCCGGCCAACGTACCGACCCGGCGTCTTAACCCGCTCGCCGCTAACCCTAAGCAGGGGGGAGGTGGGTGTATGTGGGGGTTACTAGTAATGATGATGATGCTATTATTGGTTCTTTCGGTAAAGTCACGTAGAAGGGTAATAATAAAATAATAATAAAGCACAGCAATAAAATGTTCTCGCTGTGGTTTTCACACCTGATGATGACGATTGCTTGTGTTGCGATCGAAACGTCGTGAGAATTGTATTGTTTTATATTTGTGTTATTTTATTGTTTCCCTTCTACGTGACTTTTTCCGAAAGAACCAAGAATATGAATCCCTACGGTCACGAAAGCTTTAAATCGAAATTTGATGATGATGTTTCCCTGGCAAGGAACTAAATGCTTTGTTCCACTTGGGGAGAACCCATTCGTGGGGGGGGGGGAGGGAGAAACTTCGTGGGGGGGTGGGGGGGAGATCTGGTCTGTGCTGCCTCTGCAGGTCTCATCCAGGCCGACAGCAGGGCCCGGGCCGGCGTCTCCCGCCAGGATCGCCGCTCTCTCTCTCACCTCCACCTTGGGCTCTTCGGTGAGTTGAAGCTGCGGCACAAAAAACGAGAGACGTCGGCAGAGGTTAGAAGGGAACCGGGCGCGCAAGAATTCCGCGGCTTATTTCATTTTTTTGCACGATACGTGCGTCGTGCGATCTCTACCACGTGCGTCTCTTCGTGTCTCTGTGGGTTTACGATATTGTCCGTAGTTTGGGCTGCGTGGACGAAATCACAGTACCGTGGCTTGCCTTTAACGTTTCGCTGTGGATCTCTATTGGCCTCTGTGTATCTCTATGGGAATCTATGTATCTCTAGATGAGTATCTGTGTATCTCTATGGGAATCTATGTATCTCTAGATGAGTGTCTGTGTATCTCTATGGGTCTCTGTGTTTAACCATACGAGGTCTATGTGTGCCTCTGTGGCTTCTACTCAATGGGTCCAGAGTTTGTGTTGCATGGCCACAATCGCACTCCTGTAACTTGCTTTTAATGTAGCATCTTTGGGTCTCCATGCATCTCTACGTATTACGACTGGTCTCTACGCATCTCCGCGAGTCTCTGTGGCTGTGTAATCATTCAACAACGGGCGGCACCCTCATTCAAGCGCATCTGTCGGATGCTGCGCATTGCAGAAGAGCGCTGCGTCACGCAGACGCACAGGGGAGATCACGTACCTTGGCAGCGCCGTTTTCTGAAACACAAAGAGAAGCAGAGAGACTTGTGTCAGACTAAAACGAGACGAAGAATTGGCACGGTTGGCTACGCACGGCGCGAAAGAAGTCCAACACATGTACATACACCGCACCTCCGATTAGCACGGTCGGTTAGGTATTGTGCAGAATAAGTTCAACATTCAAACATATACCGCACCTCGGATTAGCACGGTTGGCTACGTACGGCGTGAAAGAGGTTCGACACACGTACATTTATATTGCAGATCCAGCAGATGTCACGCGCGTTCAGCCTCGATGGCCGTGCACACCGATTGGCTTGTACACGACTCTGACCGATCGCTTACACCGCAGTTACCATTGCGTCCGATGTTCCCATTTCATTTCATTTTGTAATTGCCTGGGCCGCTTTAACCGTTTGCAGCCAACGCGGTTGTCGGCGTGGAGAAATATCCTCGATCCCGCTTGAAACTCATCGAAAAGGTGCAGCAAAATGCCGATGCGATATTCCCAGGAGCTGATCTGCAGACCCTGGCAGAAGCACTACGGGAGTCACATCGTAATTGTCTGCGTGCTAACGCTAGCCCGATCAGCGGGATAAGGAGCGTGTATGCCAACCCGTGGTGTCACTGAGGTTCGCGGCTGGCTGTGATGATAAGTATTTAACGAGCGGTGACTAATGATGCCTTGGAAGGCATCTCGCTGGGAGACCAAGATCAAGGATCTTGATCTTGGTGAGTGAGACAGAGCTACACCCTCTACAGTACAATAACATCGGGTTACCTTACTTAACAATTCCAAAACTAGCTTGCTATATATAACAAACAAACAAACAGAAATCTACATGTAATTTTACATGGATGTCATTATTTAGTCGGGGGGAAAACCACATCAGGGGAAAGCCACATCAGAAAATATTTCAAGTAAAATATTTAAATGTCAGTGGACCACATCACTAGTATCTTGGGTTCGATTCCCCGACTCGGACGCCTGTTCGTGTGTGGAGTTTCTATTTTTCCCCTCCCCCTGTTGTACGCGAGTTTCACTCCGGGTTCTCCTCGTGCATGGCACACGGTGTGGTAACTGGTTACTGGCCCTATCAGGCCAAATGGTGAAAAAAATAACCCACAACTTAACCAAATTGGGATTACGCAACTCAACATCGCTCCGCAAACTTGTCAGGACCCCTCCTCGAAACCCCCCCCCCCCCCGACTCAGAGTCTTGAGACTCAGTGAGGCCTTCCCTGGGTCGGACAAAGTGGAATTTTGGCATCAAGCGAGTGCCTCTGCTGGCACCATAGCCACACAACGGGTGACGGTGGCCTGTCACCGCCTCCTGTGAAATGTCAGAACCCACATCGGTGACGGGAGAGAGCGGGGGTGGGGGGCGGGGGGTTAGGGGGCGGTGGGTGCAGTTACCGTCGCCGCAGATGGGGCAGCACTCCCCCTCGGGGATGACGGGGTTTGCACAGTCCATCAGGTCCTCGCAGATGAGGTCATCGCACAAGATGTTGCCATTGTCGCAGACGCAGAGGGTGCACGGTTCGGACTTCCACACGTCCTTGTTGTCGTGCAGCTGCCCGATCTCGTCCTCACAGCTCCCGACTGCTCGCGCCGTGACGCACAACGGGAGAGGAGAGCGGAGGGTCACACAACGCCACGGTCACAACACCACCCCCACGAGACCCCGGGAGGGGTCACACAACGCCACGGTCACAACACCACCACCACGGGACCCCGGGGGGTCACAGCAGCCCATGGTCACACCACCACCACCACCACTACCACGAGACCCCGGAGATCACAGCAGCCCACGGTCACACCACCACCACCACCACGAGACCCCGGGAGGGGTCACACAGCAGCCCACGGTCACACCACCACCACTACCACGAGATCCCGGGAGGTCACACTACTCCACAATCACACCACCACCATGGAACTCACACAGAGATCCCTTGGAGCTGCATAGATTATTAAACTGGGTTTGTCAACTAATGTAGCGGGAGCGGGTCAATGGTTTCAGATTGGTCACCGGTCATTCGTATACGGGGTGCTTCAACATTTATTTAACATCTTCTTGGTTCTTTCGGTAAAGTCACGTAGAAGGGGTGACTTTACCGAAAGAACCAAGAAGATGAATCCCTGCAGTCACGAAAGCTTTAAATCGAAATTTATTTAACACTTCTGAGAATTTGTAACAACACCACAAGAAATGCGCCTCCGAGCTCTGGAGACCACCTCGAGAAGATTCCAGGCCACGCGTTGACAACGCTGGCGAACAAGTGGGAGACTCGTTGACTTTTTGAAGCTATTAACGTTACATTAGTTATCATGTTACAATGCATTATCCGTTCTTTTCCCATTAAAAACGAGAGTCCCATCAAAAGTGTTAAAACTAAACATTTACGCACCCTGTATTTACACAGCGGCCCACGGACTTACGAAGCGTCCCACAGGTCAGTTTGGGCTAGCTACCGAGAAGAGTGCAGGCGGTGCAACTGCACCGGAGTGGCCCAGCTGCCGGGCTTTGAAGCAGGCGGTGGGGGAGGGATCTTCAAAGAGTGTGCGGAGGCCGATGCCAACCCGCGGCTACGCCACCGCTGCTCGAAGGCACGAACCACGCAGCCACCCAGCACGGCCACAGCCGGTCGCGCCTGGCGCCTGCAAGCTGCTAATCTGGGCGGTCGTCGATGACCAAGAGCTGTGACCGTGACGGCGCTTGAGGGTCTTATTGCTCAAGACGCGTCGGATCTCGAAACGCGGCGCGAATGACGGGGGCGAGGTCACGCATCGAGGGTTAGCGAGCACGGTTTGGCAATGTGCGGTGCGTAAGAAGTTCAACCGTACATACGGAGCGAATGCGTAATTTTCTTTTTAAGAGGTAGAGAGGGCAAGAGGGAGGGGGTCGAAGGTCAAGATAATAACTTGAGAGCTGTACCTAATGACGTTGCAAAGATTTGACTCGCGAATCGAAAAAGGTTGTGAGTTGAAATCCTGGTTCGGGAAGGGAGGGTGAGGGGGGGGGGGTGCTGACTCAATCCGTCATCGCACTTGAGTTGATGAAAATGAGAAGGCCAAAGTTTGTGAGAAGTTAGCAACCGTCACGAGGGCTGACGCTTTACTCGGGCGAGTTCCTACACCGTTTCAGGCGGGAAGGGCCTGGAGGAGTTTGCGGATTCCTCAAGAATGAAGAAAGATGCCGGTTATGAATTAAGTGGAGAAACTTCGCCTTTGGTGACTTTGCTTCGGAGCAACAACAAAAATCACTGAGGGTCTCGTGCATCTCTTTTCTACAATGGGGCACACATTTAAAGCTCTTTGATGTGTGACGACAACAATAATACTAGTAACAGTAAAACATTCAATTTAACACGTAGGCTTTCGCGGCCAATATTCATAATACAGTCTGGGGGTTATAGCGCGTGAATACGAATGCGTCGTTAAACCCGCCACCACCCGACACAGTTTAACTAGAACAGGTGTGTCACGTGAACAAAACGTGGCCAATTCGTCACTAGTACAGCACCACCGCTGTGTTGCAGAGTAAACCCACAACATTTACGCTGAGGCTACCGTGACGTTTCGCTGGTGATTACAGCAGCAACTAGCATCATCAGGCGACGGACAGAGTTGCGAAGACTTCCATGGTGACGTCATCGCTGTGAGCCTATCAGGTGCGAAGACCAGAGAGAGGGGTTCACGTAGTCTTATAAGTTACAGTGGATCACGTCAATCTGGGAATATCCCGTACCCTATTATTAGTTGGGTTATTCACAGTTAACCTGCATACATAATGTTTGCTGTCTTTTCTTGGAATTTCTGTTTGCACTTAGTAACATATTCACTTTAAGATGTTTTCTTGTTCATGTTTTTTGTTTGTTGCGGTTGCACCCGATTCAAGAGCCGAATGGCTCACAGGGCTACACCTAATACATGAACTTGAACTATGTCATGTCGCCAACTCCACCCCGACTGGCTGGCGAAGGGCGCAATACAAATGTGTTTGATGATACTGACGACATCGATGCTGCTGAGGATGATGATGCTGAGAATGATGGTAGTGGTGACGTCACACATTACCATACCTGTCAACCCCTGACCAGTGCCCTACCTTACTACAGACAAATTCAGACCTTATTGGTCACCCCGTGCCCCTTATACAGCTCAACGTTCATCCTACAAAGTCCCATCACGAGGGATGAAACACGAACAAATAGACAAAACACATTTTTTTGTGTCGGTATTGCAACGGTTGTATGCCGTATGGACCTGAAAACTCAATTTCCCTGCACGACAATACGGGTTAAACCGTGATGGGTGGACAGCGATGGGTTTTTGTTTTCCACGACGATAACGACAATGATGACGACGATAGTGGGTGGTCGAAGAGACGGGAGTGATGAAGACGATGACCATGAACCAATCATTGAAAACGAATAACGTTTTCAATTATTGCTGCAAATCAAAGCCTCGGACGCTTTGTTGGGGGGTTCACCGGCCACGAATTCTCATCGCTCGATTGCTCGAAGCGCAAGCCCAATGACCGGGGGAGCGTTCTCACGAATATCGCTCCCGTCCATGCACAGCGCACCAATGGTACCACCAGCAAGGCCACGTTACCTGGCTCTACCCCCCACCCCTAACCCTGAGCTGGCACGTATGTACGTTAAACTTCTTTCACACCCTACGTAGCCAACCGCGCTAATCGAATTCGATGTGCGGGGGGGGGGGGGGTTGTGTACAACAAACTAAACGCACAACAATCAGTTCTGAAGAAATGAGTGTGTCGATCGAGACGACGATTTACAATCGCGCAGCTCCCAGAAGCTTCCGAATGTCGTGAGGAAGAGCGTTCCAGACGGCCGCGGCAGCACAACCTGAATGTGGCGCGCGGTGCGGTCACCCGACTTTGTTCGACGGCCAGCAGCCAAAAAGCGGCTGCACTTGAACGCTGCGCCGATGAGCATGGTTGGCTACGTACGGTGCGAAGGGAAACTACAGACAGTGTTCGCAGAGGTCTCCCTGCAAAAAAACGAGACTTCTGGCATCGAATTGGGGCTCTCGGCTGGGCGAACATTAACGATGCCGTTCTACATCGGATCAGAGACAATGATATCCCTGGGGGACCGTAGATTAAATGAGCAACATCTGGAAATATAAATAAATCAATGAAAACATAACTTCCAGCCGTTTGTCAATCCACCGCTGTATGAAGGCCTTACCCAATGCCGTGTTGGTTATGGTGGTCTGGTTGACCATACTTCACCACGCTGGTCAGTGCAGCCTGGTGAAGCTGTGGGTAAGGGGGTGTGGGCACCTCGGACCAGTTGAGGTATAAAACTATGAAATATTTTTGGGTTTTTTTACCCGGTAAGGCCCCACTGAGCTATGTAGCTCTTCTTTCAGAAGCGACCTGGCGATCACAAATGATAGCTCTACGAAGTCGCTTATCATCACGTGGTAATGAATATCAGTAGCCAAATACTGTAAACGTCTGACTTTGATTCCAAATGTGGCGGGGAAAACCCGCAGGGCTCAGAGAAAAATCCACGCGATCACAGCGAGAGAGGGAGAGAGGGACACCGCAAACTCCAATTATACAGCAGCAGGGCGTCAGGGTTGTGATCGAACCCACGACCTCCTGTATACCAGGCGAGGTAGTCAACATCTCCTAGCCACCGTGATGGTGATGATGATGATGATGAGAGAGACACGCAAACTCGAAATATACAGCAGGCGTCAGGGTTGTGATCGAACCCACGACCTCCTGTATACCAGGCGAGGTAGTTAACATCTCCTAGCCACCGTGATAATAGAGAGAGAGACACGCAAACTCCAAATATACAGCAGCAGGCATCAGGGTTTGGGATCGAACCCACGACCTCCTGCACACCAGGGTTGACTGACGTCAACCGCGGTCTGGAATTAAACTCGGGTGGCCGGGTTCGAAGCACTCCGCCACCAACCCCTCGACCCCCAAAGACATCCGCGTCGCCTATCGCGGTGGGATCATCCAGGTGGGATGCGCCCATATTTGTTGTCCGCACGCGGTCAGCCAAAGACGATGGTCGGTAGTGAGGCAGGGAAGGTTTGGGGACAACTGCCGGCGGTGAACCAGGGAAGCATCGGCGAGGAACATTCGGCACGACTGCCCCGAGCTGCAGTGGGGGGACCAATGAGCAACACAGCATTGTTGTTAACTTCGAGTAGAGAACTTAATTGTGATAGGAGTAGGAGGATGATGATGATGATCATGACGACGATCCCAATATTAGCTTCCGAAATCTGATGAGAATCATATTCTTGGTTCTTTCGGTAAAGTCACGTAGAAGGGAAATACTAAAATAATAAAACATAATAAAATAATTCTCACGACGTTTCGGCCACAACGCAAACAGGTCTGTCTTTCCGACAGACCTGTTCATCACCTGAGGACGGCTGCTTGCGTTGTGGCCGAAACGTCGTGAGAATTATTTTATAATGTTTTATTTTTATTATTTTATTATTTCCCTTCTACGTGACTTTACCGAAAGAACCAAGAAGATGAATCGCAGGTACATTGACACAGCGGTCAACCCCTTATCAGTGCCCCATCTTATTACAGACCAATTCAGACATTAATGGTCACCCCGTGCCCCTTATACATCCCAACGTTCATCCTACAAAGTTCCATCACATGGGGGACACACAGACACATACACAATCAACACCACCACACTCACCACCACACTCACCACTGGTACACTAACCACTACTCACCACTGGTACACTCACCACTACACTCACCACTACGCTCACCACTAGTACACTCACCACTACGCTCACCACTAGTACACTCACCACTACACTCACCACTGGTACACTCACCACTACTCACCACTAGTACACTCACCACTACACTCACCACTACGCTCACCACTAGTACACTCACCACTACTCACCACTGGTACACTCACCACTACTCACCACTAGTACACTCACCACTACTCACCACTGGTACACTCACCACTACACTCACCACTGGTACACTCACCACTACGCTCACCACTGGTACACTAACCACTACTCACCACTGGTACACTCACCACTACACTCACCACGACATACCTGTCAACCCCTTATCAGTGCCCTACCTTATTACAGACCAATTCAGACCTTATTGGTCACCTCGTGCCCTTTATAAATCTCAACGTTCATCCTACAAAGTCCCATCACAAGGGAGAAACACAAATAGACAAAAAAAACCTATATTTTGTTGCCCGTATTGAAACGGCTGTACGCGGTATGGACCTCGAAACTCAATTTCCCTGTACAAGAACACGGGGTAAGCCGTGATGGGTTGACAGCGATGTCTTCAGAAGGGCAATTGTGTATCTGCAATAGCGATGATCAGAGACACCATTCACGTCACAACACCGCGGCTGAATTCCTCGGTTCAGAAGATAGCCCAAATCTCCATTATGATGACAGCCGCTCATCACATCGAACAACATTTAACAAACATTTTACAATTTCCCTGTACAAGAATACGGAGCAAACCGTACGGGTGGACACGGCATGCATTGACTTAAGCGTAACACTTTTACCCCGCCACAGACAGCCTACCGATTAGTCGTGTTGCGATTTGCCATTAGCATCGCGATGAATGAAACGAGCAAAGATAATTAACTTTGATTTGAAGCTTTCGTGACTGCAGGAATCCATACTCTTTGGTTTTTTCGGTAAGTCACGTAGGTACAAAAATAATAATGTATGTATTATTTTTGTTTTATTATATATCATTATGTATGTATTTTTTCTTGTTGAGAAGACAGACTCTGTCTGCTCGACAGACAGACCTGTTCTCCACCCGAGGACGGCTGCTTGCGTTGTGGCCGAAACGTCGTGAGAATTATTTTATTATGTTTTATTTTTATTATTTTATTATTTCCATTCTACGTGACTTTACCGAAAGAACCAAGAAGATGAATCCCTGCAGTCACGAAAGCTTTAAATCGAAATTTATTTTTTCTTTGTTGTAATTCTTTTTCTACCTACGTGACTTTACCGAAATAACCAAACAGTATAATGCACTTCATTGTTGATGCCGCCACGGTGGAAAATTCGAGCGCATTGTATAATTGCGCTCATCCGAATCGTGACCATCACTGGGAACGGAGGAGGAATCCGATGAGCTATGAAGCTCCTTCTGTTCACAGCTGTCCAGTAGGACCACGGGGGTCAGAGAGTTACAGCAACACATTTAAACGTTCCGACGTGAGCGCAAAGTGTACGGGGAAGTTAGGAAAGTCACACGAAACGAATTAATATATTGATATAAATACATAAAGAACTATAGGAAATAGCTAAAAGTGTATAAACTCGTGGTGTGTAATTGTTGTTTGCTTTTGGGTTATTCGTTCACGCAGAGCGGCGGTTGGCAAACCGAAATAACAGCAAGTGTCGAATGTTTATGGATCGATAACAAATACGCCTCGCGTGACACTCACGATATCATGAATTATAATCGGCGTTCTGTCATGCACAACGCGTTCAATAATTCATCGCACATTCAATCAAAATGTGTTTTTGTTAAGAAGGGACCATTGTTATTCTTGGTTCTTTCGGTAAAGTCACGTAGAAGGGAAATAATAATATAATATAAATATAAAACAATAAAAATTCTCACGACGTTTCGACTGCAACACAAGCAATCATCATCAGGTGTGAAATTCACAGCAAGTCGAAACGTCGTGAGAATTTGTATTTTATATTAATATTATTTTATTATTTCCCTTCTACGTGACTTTACCGAAAGAACCAAGAATATGAATCCCTGCAGTCACGAAAGCTTTAAATAAAAATGTAAGGCACCATTGCTTAAAAATAAATTAAATGTAACCCAGAGTGAGGAATGCGTTGATGCGAAGTTCATCAGCGCCCCAAGGTGCACGTCACATTTGACCGTGCCATCAAATCCAAAAAAGTTTTATTTTGAAATCGCGAAAGTTAAAACTATTTATGTTTTGCAGAGAGAACAAAAACAACGAACGCTAATTCGCACCGTTGCCGTCATAACGAAGCGAGCGTGACGATCCTTCCAGCGTTCACAGCGAATCGAAACTCAAAACTCCCAGTCTCAATGGGCTCCCTCCTCTTAGCAGCACCACAATAAAGTAAAATAGAAACACGCGACTTGTGACAAACCACACCGGTGGGCGCATGCCAACCCGAGCGAAATCTCTCAACAGACGAGCACACAACACACGTGACATCTCCCAACAGAACAACACAGACACACACCCGTGACATCTTTCAACAGAACACACAGACACACACCCGTGACATCTCCCAACACAAGAACACACAGACACACACGCGTGACATCTCCAAACAGAAGAACACAGACACACACACGCGCATGACATCTTTCAACAGAAGAACACAGACACACACGCATGACATCTTCCAAAAGAAGAACACACAGACAAACACCCGTGACATCTCCCAACAGAAGCACACACACAGACACAAACAGACACACTCGCGACATCTCCCAACAGAAGCACACACACACAAACACACACAGACACACATAAGCGTGACATTTCCCAACAGAAGCACACACACACAGAGACACACACAAACACGCACAGACACGCGCGCGCAAACTCATAAACAATGCAAAGTTCGACTCACGGGGTGCATCGTCTTGACATCTCACAGTGACGGCCAATAACGCTTGCACCGCCAGCAGCCAAAAGGTCCTCCGGATCATCATCGTGCTCAGGCGTGAGCGACACAACGGGGGGTCACAGACACGCAGCAGCAGAGTTGCTCAGAGGTCCTCAATATTTCACGTGCGCATTAAGGAGTCCCACGGGGAAGAGGGATTTGTTAATAACGGGCTCGCTCCTGACGCTGTTGCCGCCACCGAGAGGTGGTGATTGGGGTCGGGACGGGGGGGGACTGCCTGGCACCGGTCGACGAGTCCCTCTTCGCAGACGCAGTGGCGCGCTGCTTCAATCGCTTACGACTTTAAGAATGCCGCCCCCTTCGCCTTTATGGCGACGCTGCTCCGCCCCGAGCTTCTGAGTGGTGGAGGAGGTTCACTCCCGCCACGCCAATTTGTAATCCGAGCGTACGACACCCGCGGAGAGGGTGGTGGTGGTGGCTCTCACTGCGGTGATGAACACCCCCCCCCTCCTCCCACGCCTATCCTGCCAAAGGCAACCCCCCCCCCCACCCCCGTGTAGCCTCAACAGACTGTTGGGGAAAGTGCTGTTAGCGAGTGAAGGCCGGTACACGAGGGGGTGGGTGGGCCAGTATTGCCACCAGGTACTCGTTTGAGGCTGAGTCGACCTAGGAGGAGGGCCCAGGGCAGGTTCAGATAATCGTCACTGCTGGTGATGGTGGCCGTGAGCAGGGAATCGAACTCGGGTGGTTGGGTTCGTGGCGCAGCGCGCTAACCGCTGCACCACCACTCCCCCCCACCACCCACACCATCGCTGCTGCTCAATGCACGCAGGTGCAGAGGCGGCGATGGGGTTGGTGGGTGGGTTGGTGGGTGGGTGGGTTGGTGGGTGGGTGGTTTGGTGGATGGGTTGGTTGGTGGGTGGGTTGGTGGGTGGGTGGGTTAGTTGGTGGGTCGGTGGGTGGGTTAGTTGGTGGGGGGGTTGGTGGGTGGGGGGGTTTGGTGGGGGGGTTGGTGGGTGGGTGGGTGGGTGGGAGGATCGACACGTGGCCGAAGCAAACCCACGTGGGGTGAGGGTGGTTCACGATGCCCACCCCACCTCGCCACCGAGTATTTAGAAACAACCCCCAGAGACTTTGCGGGCGATTTTTTTCTACTTGAACATCGCTCTCTCGCGCTCTCTCTCTCTCCATATATATTCAACTACTGGAGATAGAACTCGGTCGAGGGCATTCGGGACGTGAGCCCCTTCTTGCGTAAAGCAGCGGTTCGTCTTCTCTCACCTGGGGTGCACTCCGTATCCCCTGGGCGTGCGAGACGTGGACAGATTTGTTTTTGTTGTTAGAAGCTAAATAATCGAAAACGCAAATTAGGTACGGGACACGTGAGTTACAACATCACTCTGTTTAAGCAAACCCTGTGTCAGTTTAACACGTAGGCTTTCGCGACCAATATTATTATTAATCAACGTTTTTGGGTTTAGATCGCGTTATTTATAAATGTGTCGTAACCCTCCACCACCCGACACGGCCAATCAGTAAAAAAGTGTCACGTTGACAAAAGACAAATAGTTCACGCTTCAACACACCGGTGGGCTAAAGCAGTGAACTATTTGTCTTTTGTCAACGTGACACTATTTTAATGATTGGCCGTGTCGGGTGGTGGAGGGTTACGACACATTTATAAATAACGCGATCTAAACCCAAAAACGTTGATTATGAATAAACCTTGTGTGTTTATTAACATTGCACATTTCTGTTGTAACGACCGAGAAACAACGGGGGGGGGGGGGGGGGGGGAGTGTACAAAGGATGCAGAGAAGGTTATAAGAGCCAGCGAGGGACGAGACCCACAAAAATATCGATGTCCTCCTGTCAAAGATCGCCCCGCGAGTGGAGCTGTCGAGACTCGGCCAGCTCGCCGCTCTCGGCGTGACCTCGGAGTAGATTGAACTTTGCTGACCGAGAGGGACGCGGTCATCCGGCTGCGGCGCTGATCGCGGCACCCGGCAACGCCACAGCGAGGAGCGGCCTCTTGCAAACCAGAATGAATCACCAAACTAGAACAGGTAACCGGACCAGCATTAGTAGCCAAACGAAACTGTGGAACACCACGATTACATGGAACACCACGATTACATGGAACACCACTGGACCATGGAACACCACGATTACATGGAACATCACGATCCCTCCCCTTGGCTCTCACGACTCAGCACCGGGGCAGAGGCAAAGCGGTGGTGCAGTGGTCGTGGCACTCCGCTGGGAACCCGGCACCAGGAGTTCGATTCCCGTCCAATGCGGGAATCGAACTCCACTACCCTCTCACCCCACACAGTGACCAGCATGGTGAAGTACGGTCAACCCGACTGACATGGTGTGGGGACACCTTCTCCTCCGGATTAACAAAGGAGCTGTGGATGACTCTGTGGATGACTCCGTGAATGACTCCGTGAATGAGTCTGTGAATGACTCTGTAGATGACTATGTGGATGACTATGTGGATGACTATGTGGATGACTATGTGGATGACTCCGTGAATGACTATGTGAATGACTCTGTGAATGACTATGTGAATGACTCTGTGAATGACTCTGTGAATGACTATGTGAATGACTCTGTGAATGACTCCGTGAATAACTATGTGAATGACTATGTGGATGACTCTGTGGATGACTCCGTGAATGACTATGTGAATGACTCTGTGAATTACTCCGTGAATTACTCCGTGAATGACTCCGTGGATGACTCTGTGAATGACTCTGTGCGCTCAGCATCAGAGAGGTTTACATCATTGGTACCTCATTTGCCAATAAAAAATATGATAATAGTTTTTTTACCCTTTAATCTGGCAACAAAACTAGCACATTTTTTACCACAATACCTGCAGTCATAATGCAAACAAAAAACCAATGGTGTAAATGCTTACCCCGAGCTCTCATACTCTGGTGGTGCATTGTCTTTGAGTTGTGCGCCTTTTGGCGTCATCTGGTCCAACACCATGTGAGACTGGGCTATAAGGAAAGCTGTCTCGGGTGTGAACCAATCAACTTCAAGGACAGTGCATACATTATCAGAGTTGTGCTTTTTGTTTGCATTATGACTGCAGGTATTGTGGTCTATGCAAACATGACTCCTCGTAAAAAGGTGTCAGTTCTGTTGCCAGATAGAAGGGTAAAAATCCAATTATCATCAGAGAGGTTATTCAGACCAAGGCCTTTACGGCGCTGCAGCCCATCACAAGCTCTACCCCCAACTGCTAACAACAGAGAAATCCAGGAAGAGTAACGCAAGCACGTGTGTATGTTGGACTTCTTTCGTACCATACGTAGCCCACGGTGCTGATGGGAGGCGTGACGAGGCGCTACCCGGTATTTTGGGAGCGAATTTTTGCCGGGGGAGTGTTTTTATTTCGCTTAAAACATTTGTACCCGGGTGTTGGCGCGTGTGAGACCAACGCACGCAAACAGCGGCTTCGCTCATCCAGCGCCAAACGAATCGCGTTCACCGATGTCAGCAAGACAGCGGCGGCAGTTCACGCAACAAAAACGAATCGCGTTCACCCGCCAGCATTCACCGCTATCGGTCAACGCTGGCGGCGAGTTCACGCGTGTAACTCGGTGGCCCAGGGGCAGGGGCAGGTTGGTCAGCTGGGGGTTGCGTGTGTTATAGTAATAGTTCAAATACCCTTTGATTCTTTCGATTGAAAGCTTTCGTGACTGCAGGGATTCATCTTCTTGGTTCTTTCGGTAAAGTCACGTAGAAGGGAAGAACAGGTCTGTCTTTCCGACAGACCTGTTCTTCACCTGAGGACGGCTGCTTGCGTTGTGGCCGAAATGTCGTGAGAATTATTTTATAATGTTTTATTTTTATTATTTTATTATTTCCCTTCTACGTGACTTTACCGAAAGAACCAAGAAGATGTACCCTTTGATTCTTTCGGTAAAGTCACGTCGGTAGAAAAATAACACTGGTCAACACAATTTTTCTGGCATAAGGTATTCCAACGGTTATAAGGTAATTTTGGGGTGCTGATTCCAAATCTGGCATCAGTTTCTGTCTATCAAATCAGGTTTTTGAGATATCAAATATTGCATTTTCAATAAAAACTGCAGAAGAAAAATATTAAATAAATGTGGATATCTATATAAAATGATATTATAAACACACTATCCTAAAAATACAGCGCCATATTTTAACACTAAAGCAGTCACTGACTCGCAGAGTTAATTTCGGGTACAATCAATGAAAATGGAGTATGCCGATAGCATAAAAATGAGATGTGATAGAGCAAATCTGAGATCAGATTTGGAATCAGCACCCTGAAATTAGTCTAAAACAGCTGCAAAAGTCCAGGCCAGAATTTATTTTATTTTATTTTGTTGACCAGTGTTATAGATCACGACGTTTCGATTTTATTATTTTATTATTTTTCTACCCACGTGACTTTACCGAAAGAACCAAAGAGTATGGATTCCTGCAGTCACGAAAGCTTCAAATAAATCATTCAAATTCCATCATAGGATCCCAACGCGCAACGCAAGTAGGTTGCCGTTTGCGTGGAGCATGGGAAATGTCCCCGCTCCCCATACGCACGAGAAAAAAAAAACCACGTAGCACCGAGCCTCCTGTGTGAACGATTGTTGCCATTGCACTTGCATCTTCTTGGTTCTTTCGGTAAAGTCACGTAGAAGGGAAATAATAAAATAATAAAAATTCAACATGATCAAATAAAATGCTCACGACGTTTCGGCCACAACGCTAGCAGCCGTCCTCAGGTGAAGAACAGAGCTGTCGGAAAGACAGCGTCCTGAAAATCGAAAAATGTGCATTCACAGCACGGCAATATTGGGGCAGAGCACCTTGCGATACATATACGGAGGCTGCCTCTGGGTTCCCACGTCGCACACGGCCCGTGGAGGAAGGTGAACGGTGGCCTGGTGAGCACTGGAGTTGGAACTTTTTTGTTCCAAGAACGTCCGGTGGGGGGGGGGGGGGGAGAGCCCAGAATGCCGCGCTGGTAAATTCACTACCCGTCCGTCAAGAAGCAAAATCCCTCGATAAATTGGGCTGCCGTGGTGGCGAGGTGTTAACTACCTCGCCTGGTCTACAGGAAGTCGTGGGATCGATCACGACTCTGACGCCTGCTGCTGTATATTTGGAGTTTGCGTGTCTCTCTCTCTCTCATCATCATCATCACGGTGGCTAGGAGATGTTAACTACCTCGCCTGGTATACAGGAGATCGTAGGTTCGATCCGGACTCTGACGCCTGTTGTATATTTGGAGTTTGCGTGTCTCTCTCTCCTCCCGTGGTCGCGTGCATTTTTCTCCGGTTTTTCCCTCCGCTTTTA